GTTTTGGGGCAGCTGCTGCTGTTCGCATGTGGGGGGATGCTGGAGCGTGGAAGCAGCGGCAGTGAGAGGGGGCTGGGCTCATTTCCTTCCTGTGCTCGGGGCTCTGTTGGCCTCAGTTTGCCCCAGGCAGGGTGTGAGCCCGCCCCGCTCCCAGCCTCGCTGTCTGAGTTCAGTTTTCAGTCACTTTTTCTCAGCCGAGATCCCTCCCACACGCGGTGCTGGCAGCGCTCAGCCCCTGGCACAGCGTTCCCCTGTGACTGCCCCGGTTCCCCAGTGCCATTTGCAGGTTCGATCCCTTTCCCTCGTTCCCAGCCCGGGCAAGGAGCGCTCCCCGGAGGGTTCAGTGCCTGGAGGAGAGCTGGGACAGGGATTTAAACCTGTTTGATAGGCGGGACTGGTGGTGGGGACACGGGGACACGGGGGACGGGACCTTCCACCCGAGAGGCATCCCCAGGGCTGGGTGTGCCTCTTTCTCTGGTCTTGCTGTCCCCGGGAGCTCACCTGAGCCGGGGCTGGCAACAGTGTGACAGTGACAGTGACAGTGTGACAGTGACAGTGACAGTGTGGCTGTGACAGTGACAGTGACTGTGTAACAGTGACTTTGTAACTGACAGTGTGACAGTGACAGTGTGTCAATGTGACTGTGACAGTATGACAGTGACAGTGTCAGTGTGACAGTGACAGTGTGACAGTGACTGTGACAGAGTGTCAGTGTGACAGTGACAGTGTCAGTGTGACAGTGTCAGTGTGACAGTGACTGTGACAGAGTGACAGTGTGACAGTGTCGGTGTGACAGTGTCAGTGTGACAGTGGCTGTGACAGAGTGACAGTGTGACAGTGTCAGTGTGACAGTGACAGTGTGACAGTGACTGTGACAGAGTGTCGGTGTGACAGTGACAGTGTGACAGTGACAGCCCCTGCCCAGCGGAAGGCCGGCAGTGCTGCTGTTGTCCCTGTGCACAATGGGGACAGATGTGGGAGGAAGTGATTTGTCTGCCTGGGACAGGGACACTCACAGATGTCCCACTTCCCCAGCTGATTGTGTCACCACTGATCACATCTCTGGCCGCCAACTCCTTCCTGGTTAAACAGCACAGCTTTTTATTTCTTTTTCTCTTTCCTCCTCCTCTCTAAGGTGCAATTAATGATTCATTTAAAATGTCCTGCCAGGATATCTCAGCTGGTGTGTGATCTCCATTCTGTGGCTGTGCATGGAGCACAGAAGCAGCAACGGTGCTTACTTTATTATAGCTAAAAAAAAAATTAAATATATATATATATAAAAAAAAGAGCAAGAAGCAAAGTACAGCTGTGAGGAGGTGACAAGGACACAATGCTTGGCAGCCGAGCTGCTCTCACCCCTTGTGAATGGAGGTGTCTGTGTATTTCCCTTCACACTTAAAATAGAAATACATGAATTGTCACTGGTTGTTTGTACCAGAGCACCTGCCTGGTCCAAGTTCTGCCAACTCCATCTGCTCCTCTGCCTGCATCCAGCAGCCCGGGCAGGGGCACAGTGAGGAGGGAGCACAAACTCCATGTGTGAGTTTGGAATTTAAGCTTTGAAATTGTTCAAATTTGTGGCTGGTCCTGCTCTGGAGGCAGTGGGAGAACCCAAAGTGCTTGAGCAGCCTCTGCTCTGACACAGGGACACGATGGACAGGGCAAGGGCTGTGTGGCACCACCAGGCTTTGATGTGTTCACCCTTTTGGGCTGCTTGGGGACAGGCAGGATTCTCCTGTCGTAAATAATGTGGCAACAACAGTCCCACCCCAGAGTGTTTCCCCCAGGCTGCTGTTCCTACCCCAAGCCCATCACCCCAAAAGCTGAGTTTCTCCTGCTGTGCTTTCCCTGTTTGACAGAGCTCAGGGGCAGCAGGGCTGGGGTGAGCTCCCCAGGGCGCAGCAGGGGCTGGTGGGCAGATGCCAGGGACGTGCAGGACATGACTCAGTTCCTGCCTTTGGGAGCCAAACTGCTGAGGCCGGGCTGGCAGCGCATCCTGCTCGGTGCCAGCTGTGCTCAGCACCAGCCTGGGACACCTGGCTGCTTCCCAGCCCCAGGAAATGGCAGCAGAAATGCAAAAAAAACCCAACCCAAACCATCCTACCAACACACAGTGAGACTTCCTAACAGAACTCGCCTGTTTGGTGTTTGCTGTGATGCTCTCCCAGCAGAACTCTGGGTTTTGGGGGGATGCCTGCTGTGGGAAGCCACCAGGAGCAGGGGACACCTTGTCCAGCCCCAGCTGGAGCCTTTGTGGCCCGTGGGGGTGAGGGCACAGCAGGGACAATGGGGACACAGCTGAGCTCTCCTTAGAGCACTTGTCCTCCTGCAGTGGCCCTGGTGGCCCGTGCACCGCTCAGGACAGGAGCCTGGCTCACCCCATGACAGCGTCAGGGCTCCCATGTGTCCATTGGGAGGGCAGGATAATTAAAGCCTTCATGGTGATTGCACCAGTAAAGAGAATTTACCTGGTGGTGCAAGAGGAACTAATGCATTGCCAGGTTATTTAATTCCACTAAATAATTTTAAAATATTCAGCTGTTATTTACATTAAAGCAACATTTGGTGCCTCTGGGTGGAAGCGTAGAGGTGGTTCAATATTTGTTATACATTAGTTGAGCAGACTTAGGTGAGTAAATTTACTTTAATAGGTTGGGGTTTTTTGCCTAATAATATTAAACCTAAAAGAGAATGAAAGAGGGAGAATTCTGAGTTGTGAAAATCTCTTGGTTCTTCAATGACACTGTTTATTTATAGAGCTTAGGGAAGAGCTTGTGAGACTTTTCTTACCTGGATCTGGTGACATTCACTTTTTTTGAGTATGTGCTTAACTTTTGTTGACTTAAGGGCAATACAGGCAGAGTCCCACCAAATGAGTGTATTAAGGTAATAACAAAGTAATTAATGAACAATTTTAGGACATCAGGCTATTCTCAATTTCACTGTGGGCTCTTCTGGCTGGCCACAGCAATGACCATCACCAGCACCTGCCATCAGCTGGATGCTGAGATGGTGGGAGGGCTTTGCAATGCAAATTCTGGGGAAATGAAGAGCTCATCCAAGCAGGGCATTTATTTCCTGTAAAAAACCATCTCCACCTTTTCCCTGGGCCTCCAGCCCTCCCCATTGCTCAGCTCTGGCTCTTGCAGACTGGGAGCCCAGAATGTTTTTACATCTTCTCTCAGAGGATATAAAAATGCACGTGCTGCGGTCCTGGCTGCAGCTCCGCTGGGAGCGCTGGGAAGAGGAGCAGCTCTAAAATAAACAGGCCACCAGTACAGCCACTGGAACATTAAGTTGCTTCTTGACTGGTCTTGTAAACCTTCAAGCCAAGCCTTATCTTAGCAAAAGAGTTCAGGAGAACAGATGGAAGAAGCTTTATTTGGGGCCAAACATTCTCAGCAAGAGGCAGCAGCAAATGTCACCAGCCTGGGACCTCAGCATGGCCATAGCAGCTTCTGCTCCTGAGCACACAAACCCCTTCATTCCTTCAGTTTCTGCTTCTATTCAATGGGCCCTTTGGCATTTTCCAGTCTCACCATGGCAGTTTTTGGGATGGAGCACTTGGAGAGATCCTCTAAGCAGGGCAGGCACGAGCCACAGAGCTGCAGTTTTCCCTTTCTGCTGTGGAGCTGAGAGAGCAGCAGCTCCTGGTGCCTCTGCAGCACTGACTGAGCTTGGCCAGGGCTGTAGCTCAAGGCTCAGACTTTGCCAAGAGATGGGATTTCTGTCAACTTGCTCAGATCTCAATGATTTCAGGTCCCACAAGCCCAGACCAGTTCCAGCTTCTGGAAACTTAATGTGGGGTCTCAAAAGCAACAGGCTTGGCCTCACTGATGCCCTCTTTGAGAACTTCTCATCTTCTGAAGTATTGAAACTTATTAATAATGAGATAAAAATGCAGAAGCCCCTCAGTGGCTGGATCTACGCTTCTGACACCAACCCTTGGACTGTGTCCACAATTCAGCAGCTCCTGCATCCTCCCAGCCAGCCCAGCTCATGCCTGAAGAAGGAGCTGAGAGCTCCCCCAGCCCATCTTTGACTCCCAGTTGGTGCTGGCAGACCCCCACTGTCCCCCCTGTCCTTGCAGGAGGAGCAGGAGGCTCAGCTCAAACGGAGGTAGTGCTGTGATTCACAGGCACAGCTGCAGTTCTGTGGGAATAAAACCCTCCCCTGCTTCATGGGCCGGAAGAAAATCAGAACAAATGTTCTTAGAAAAGGAGGAGCAGGGCAGCCAAGCCAGAGTAAACAAGCACTGAGAGAAGGGTGTGGGAAGGAGGGGACATGTGGCAACCAGCAGATTCTCAGTGGCTGTGGAGAGGACAGGAGTGGGTTTCTCTTCTGGCACTTGCTGGTTCTTCCTATCTCCAGACAAGGGTCCAACTGATGCTTTGATTTTTTTCTGGTTGCTCCCACACCAGACTTTTGCTGCTTTACATTCCAGCTCTGTGTCTCTGAGCACCTGAGGGTGCCATGGAGGGACTCAGTGGGACGAGGAAAGTGTGGGGCAGCACCAGGCTCAGCACTGCACCAACTTGTCCCTGGGCCACAGCAGAGCTTCTCCATAACCCATGTGGGATTGCAATGCAGAAATGGGCACCAGCATTGCCCCAGCTGAACGGGGTCAGCCCAGGAATTGGCCCAGCAGTGACTGCTCAGAGCCTCCCTGCCCCTGCCCTGCTGGCACCTGGAGGTTTAGGATCACACAATGCTAAAGCCTTTTTTAAGAGTCCCTTCCCTGCCCTTGCAGGGGGTTTGTGGGCTGGGGCAGGGCCTGGCGCCTCTCAGGAATAGTAAATTAATCACCTCCCCAAATCATGGGCTGTGGGTGGAAAGCAGGGGTGAGAGTTTTTGCCCCTCGGGTGATCAGAGAGGTGAGGCTCCCTCGTGGGTGTGGCTTTTGTCTCATTAACCAGAACACTGATGACTTTAACTGCAGGGAAGTCACCAGTGGTCGTTTATGTAACATTTACTGTGGTTTTGTCCCGGGGCTGCAGGTACAACAGCCTGGTGACCGGCAAGCGGGCGAGGGGACTCATCGCAGTGCTGTGGCTCCTGTCCTTTGGGATTGGACTGACCCCACTGATGGGCTGGAACAAAGCCATGAGTGGCTGTCCCAATGCCACCAACGAGACAGGGGCTGAGCCTGGGACAGAGCCCCATGGCTGCTTCATCTCATGCCTCTTCGAGAACGTGGTGACCATGAGCTACATGGTCTACTTCAACTTCTTTGGCTGTGTGCTGCTCCCACTCGTCATCATGCTGGGGATCTACATCAAGATATTCATGGTGGCCTGCAAGCAGCTGCACCAGATCGAGCTGATGGGCAACTCCAGGACCACCCTGCAGAAGGAGGTGCACGCAGCCAAGTCTCTGGCCATCATCGTGGGGCTTTTTGCCTTCTGCTGGCTGCCCCTGCACATCTTGAACTGCATCACGCACTTCCACGAGGGCTTCTCCAGATCCAAGCCCGAGTGGGTGATGTACGTGGCCATCATCCTCTCCCACGCCAATTCTGTCATCAACCCCATCATCTACGCCTACAGGATCCGGGATTTCCACTGCACCTTCCGCAAGATCCTCTCCAAGATCCTCTGCAAGGCCGATGACTTCCCCAAGTGCCCGTCTGACAACACCCAGAACCTGACTGTCATCAACATCAGCTCCCCCGTGGCCTCGGTGACTGTATGACCCTGCCCCTGCAGCCCCTGGGTGTCCAGCCCATCCCTGGCACTGCCCTGCCCCATGGCAGCAGTCCCAGGAGTGCTCAGAGATGACCACTATGCACTTGTGCAGCTGTGTTTTTATTTTAATTTTTGTAATTAACATCGTGCCTCACAGAGGAGTGACCTGAGCGGGGACACCGAGTGCAGCTCACCCTCCTCTGGAGCCCCAGGGGGTGTGAGAGCTGTGATCCTGTTGTGTTTCCTTTACAGGTGTTTCCAGGTCAAACACTGACTGGGAAAGACTCACCTGCTTGGGGGGGTGTTTCCCCAATTGTGCTGCTCATGTCAAGTCATAGGATCTTTATTTTAATTATTATTATTATTATTATTTTTTAATATTTTGTTTCATTTAGGAGTAATAATTTTGTGTCTGATTTTTGAGTTGTTCTAGACCAAACTTGACAGCACTTTGGTAATACCCTAATTATTCCATCAATTGTTTGATGCAGCTTGTATTCTCTGATGGGAAAAAGTCTTACTTAGCCCAGTTGCTGATGTGAAACTGAATCTGTGTTCCAGGCACTGAGGGGGAGGGACTGTGTGGATGGGGAAAACCAGGTCAGCCCAGCATGGAAACCCCATTTACTGAAAGATTTGAGAAAAGGTTTGACCAAGGTTTTAGAGCAGAGGTTTTATTGCCTTTAAATCACTTTGGTCCACAGGACTGTGCAGCCCAGTGCTTCAGGTTTGCTTGCAGATCTGTTTCCAGCTATCAAAAAGCAGGAGGCAGAAGCACCCCAATGATCTTGGCTCATCTGAACCAGAGCCATCAAGGCCAGTGTCACTCTGCCTTGGGGACATGAGCTCTACAATTAGGTTTTTGCACCCAGGTCAAAATTTGCCAGCCTCGCAGAGCTTCCTCAAGTGCAGGTTTTAGCTGTAAGAGGTGGGTGCTGCAGCTCACCTGAATCCTAAAGCTTGGTCTGGCTGGGTCACCTCTGCAGCCCTGTAACCTCCAGATGTGAATGCTTTTTTTCCCCCCTAATAGGAATTTTTATATTTTCATCCCTGAAAAATTGTACTTGAATCACACAGAAATCAACTCTATAATTTTTTTAAATTCTGTTGCACTAAAAGGGGGGTACACACCTCAAGAGTTTCATTACTCTGGCACATATAACGACAAATATGGTGTAAAAATCAATTGCAAAGCTGAAGAAATCTTGTTCCTGCCAGCAGGCAAGAGCTGCAGGAATGACTCTGGGCCCACCATGCACAGGGAATGGTTCCCTGGGAGTGCTGGATTTCAGTGCCATTGGAGCAGCTCAGCCCCAAACCTGGGTGAAATCACCAGAGAGCTCTGAATGGGTTTGCACATGTTTATGCAACATCCAAATTTAGCTACAGCTCAGTGTCTCAGAGATTGGTATTTCCAGCATGAGTCTGAGCAGTTCAAATCACTGTCCCAAGTGCTTCTCCTCTAACAGCCCCATTCATCTTTGCTGCATCTTCCTTGGTCGGGGGCCAGCTGACACAGGGGCCACCTCCTGCCATTTGGGCAGGGCCTGGCTCTCTCCTCCCTCCATTCCTTCCCTCCTGTGTTATCTTTGGCCGTGTTCCTCCTGTTAATCACAGCTGGAGACAAGCAGGGTTTCACCTGCAGCTCTGGCAGTGGTGCCAAGTGGTTGCAAGCCACATTTATTCTCACAACAAAGGATGGAATCTCTCCCTTTGGCTGCCTGAAACTGACCCAGACTCTCACAGCAGCAACAGAGTGAAACTCTCAGTGCTGTAACACCAAGAAAGAAGGTCCCAGAACCCTTGTCCACATGTGAGAGCTTCCAGTGCAGCTCAGAATTCCTGCATATGGACGTGGAGCAGTCCAGATGTGCCTTTGGGCTGTCAGGCATTAACTCTGGCCCAGGTCATGGTCATTGGGCACATGAAGTGCCTTTGTGGATCTGAGCCAAAGATATTTCAAGGCAAAATAAAAATAGGACACTTCCCTTGCTCCCCTCAATAAAAAACTCTGAATGTTTCTATAAAAATGTGAAGCAAAAACAGCAGAGGAGTTTCTATAGCGAGTGCAGCTGTGGCCATTCAGCTGTCACTGCCACTGCTCTGATGTACATGGATGGATGTGTTCTCCTCATGTTGCTCAGTTTTGTACTTGCAGTAACTGTTATTTACATACAAAATGTTTCATTTACCATCCCCAGCACCTGGCTCAGCCTGTGCCCCGTTATTTCTCGTGGTTGATGAGTTCACACAAGCACAGAAGGCCACACTGCCCCCAGGGGGGACAGCAAGGACAGGGAATCACAGCAGGAAGGAGCTGAGCCCCAGGGAAGCAGCCTCGAGGTGGTCAGCGTGTCTGAAAATGTTTCATTTCAAGCACAGCAACCACGTTGATGCTTCCAAAGATCCCATTCCAGTGGAAGCACAGAGCTGTCACCAGTCTCAGGGTGCTGAGGTGTCCCTGCCCTACTCCCTGGACCAGGTTTGCCACTGAAAAATCAGAAATTGCTCTGAGCTCCCACCTGCAAAGAGCCACAGCAGCTCTTTGATCTGTGGATCACAGAGACCCACAGAACTATTTGCATTCTGACATCACAATTATTACAGATTAGTTTGAACATCTTCAGAAATCCCAAAAACAGCATAAATAAATGAAACTGAAGTCAACACAGGCCTAATTAATTTATCAGTACCAGGCTGCTAATTAACATCACGCTTTGCTGCAGCACAGGAAGAAATCTACTGACCACAATGAGCATTTGACAGCCCTGTAGATATTAAAAATGCCAGCTACACAGCCAGGAGTGATCCAAATCCTTCATCCTTCATCCTCTTCCTCAGCCAGGAGGATGTTTGTGAGCTGCTCCTCAGACACAGCCAGTTCCTGGCAGGCTCCCATGGCCTGGCTGAGGTAGACAGCCAGGATGTGTTTGCACTGCAAAGTTAACAGCAGGAGCAAGGCTGGAACGTCAGCTCTGTCTGGACCAGGAATCCATCCTGGCCAAAATGAGTTTAATGAAGTGCTCAGCCCTCCCAGGAGTGTGGTTCCCTCCTGGCACAGGTGGTGCTCAGTGTCCCCAGTTGTGCCATGCAGGGACCTGCCACAGATCCTGGCTCCTGGCACCCTCCCCACCACTGCTGACCCCCAAAACCCCTCCCTGCACCCCAAATCGGGCTCTCAGAGGCCAGGGACACAGTGGGTCAGGCTCAGCCTGCATGGTCAGCTCCACACTCCTGTTTGTTTGGGAATTTCAGGGCAGAGCCTTGGCCCCTCTCTCCATGCCAGGCTGAGGAAGAGAACTCACCAGAAGGCTCTCACTCTTCTGCAACACAGAAAACTCAAAGGCGGGGCACGTGCAGAAGTGGCAGGAACTGTAGCAGGTGTAAAGTTTGCCTGAGCTTCCAAGGACCTGAAACAGAGGCAGGTGAGGAGTCAGAGGCAGGATTCACTTTAATTTCTCTGCCTCAGGCTGGGTCTGCACTGACCCAGCAGTGAGGGGGAGATGTCACAGTACAGAAGTGTCCCCAAATGTTGAAGTGACCCAGCTAAGCTTGGAGCTCCTCAGCTTTCTCATGTTCTCTACAAGCTTCTCTCCCTGCAGGTGAGGGTGTCCTGTACCTGTGCCTGCAGCAGACCCCAGCCCCAGGGACCTGCCTGATTCTGAGGGGCTGGGAAGGGGGCAGTGGCACCACTCCCTGAGCTCCAGGAGTCACACAGAGCCCAGCTATGAGCCCACAGCCACCACGGGCCGGGACAGGAGAGCAGCACTGAGCATTTATTTGCTCTCCTTTCCCAACCACTGAAGGCTGTTCTGCTCTCAAAACCAGCTGCAGCTACTGGAATCCAGATCTGCCTGAATAAACAAAGCTGAAGTCTCCAGAGAAGCCCTCCCTGCTCCATCTCTGCTTTGGGAACAGCACTGCCTGCTTTTCCCACATGCTTTTCCTTGCAAGGCTGGTACTGAGGCACCAGGGTGAGCAAACAGGTGAGGGAAGCATTTTTTTCCAGCATGGAGCAATCTGTGAGCTGCTGGAGCTGACTGCAGGATATAGGAAAGCCAGCCTATGGATTATTATTCCTCTTTTGGTCCCTTCAAGACTGGAAAATAGCTTTTAGGAAACTACTTTATGATCTGCAGGAGCAGAACAGACTTGCACAGGGCCCAGGGCTCGGAGGGCACATCACCCACCCCAGGCTGTAGACTGGCTGGGTTTGTGGCACACACACCTCCAAATCCAAAGATAAACACAAAAAGTGAAAAGGCAGTGGAGCTCTGCAGAGTGCTGCTCCCCTCCAGGACATCCCTGGCATTCCAAAACCCTCCACGGGAACACTGTCCTTCACAGTCCAAAGCTGCACTTCCATGGGGAGCCTTCCCCTGTTCCCTGGAGCTCTCCCTGCACCCTCTGCCCAACAGGGAACATCCAGAAGTTTAGGCTCTCCCACTGAAGTGCCAATGCCTCAAAGTCCCCCTCACTCCCAGCAGATCCAGGACACAAAACTCACATTCTCATTTCAGGGTAAACCATTTTTTTTCTCAGTCTGGCCTTTCCCCTGGGTCCTCCTTTTACTGCTGAGTTTGTTTCACTTGTGATAAGTTTGTTTTCCTGTAGCCCCTTTGATTGTTATTTCCAAGATGAAGTATTGTGATGGTGCCTTCCCTTCAGAAGTGTTTTTCTTTGGGGAGGGGGGGAAGCCACAGACAGACACTGCCAGATTTGGGCTGAGCTCAGCCTTCCCCAATCCTGACCTAGATGGCAAGAACAGAGACTCTGCCTAATAAGGCAAAATCTAAAATCCAAAGACTGGGAGAAAAAGGTGCCTCTGTTCCTGGCCAGCTGCAGCCCAGCCAGGCACCGATTTCCTTCTGCTGTCCTCATCCCTGGGCCTCAGTGAGGAAAAATCCCCCTGGAGGTGTCTGTGCCAGGGTATGGGGGCACAGGAGGGTCAGCTGAGGCACCAGCACATGGACAGACAGACAGGCAGCACCACAGCCTGTGCCAGGGCCTGCTGCTCAAACCCTTCACCATGGGGCATCTGCCACACAGTTCTAGGAAACCAATGAAAAAAAGACATAATGAAAAAAATCCCCAGTGAAGGTGCAGGATGTGAGTGGTGCAAGTGCCAGCTGGCAGGGCTGAAGCACTGCCCTGCTTCACTGCCACGGCTCAGAGCTAAGGGCTGCCCCAAATGCTGCCAGGTCAACACTGCCACATCCAGCACAGCTCCACCACCAGCCAGACCCATCATCCCTGCAGCAGGTAGGGTTTACCCCTGACATCAGCATGGCAGCTATCACCCAAGCTCTCCTGGGATGATTTCAGCTCTGAGGCATCGTGCCTCACTCCATCAGTGCTACTCCTCTGTTAAACAGCAAGGGCACTGAGAGACAAATCTCAGCTTTCATTTGACTGAGGGCTCTTTCTTCTCCCATCTCAGCTCCTGAGGGCAAGAGCTGCCTACACAACAGGGCCTGT